TCTTCCCCCTCCCTATCCTGTGCCAGCTTGACGTCAATAAGTGCATTATATGGAAGTTTTATTTTTAGCCATCAGTGATTACAACTATGAAGACAGATGGCGTATCATGTGTACATCTTTGTGATACTGGGCGGTGGTCTTGCCTTGAAGTTAGGCAATGTCAAGGCAGGGGCAGATAACTCTATTCAGAGGTACAGTTAAGCTGCATATCTGCGTAAATTACGCAAATATTTATGTGAAAACTCAATTCCTATTAAGTCTATTGCATACAAGTACTCTTGAATTTTTGTAAATAAATGTGATCTTACATGCGTACACACAAAAATGTCAAATGTTAGTTTGACTAACATTTAAACTTTATTATATTTAAAAAATTAATGGAAAATAGCAAAATACCCAATTGAGTTTGAGTGAGGTGAGTACAATCTATTTGGTAACTGAAAGGAAAAGTAGGATACCCAATTGAGATGAACACAAGCGAGGACGTAACTCAATGACCCAAAAAGTTATCTGTAGCTCTGACTCTATTGAGTATTGATTCAAAGGTTGTAATTCATAGTTTCTTCACATATTCAAGATATATTTAGTCTCTAGGGTGTAATCAAACTCAATGGGTGTGCCTTTTTCACATTTCAACTCTAGCTAAAATGCTGTTTTGGTTGAGAAGACATGTGAGAACACTAGCTCAATTGGGTAATTACACATATTGCTAGAGAATTAGGTTTCTTCAATTTTTCATGCATATTTGTATGTGAATTAGTTAACGATTTAAAGTCACATCAGGAGTATTGCAGGCATATCATGACCATATTTGTATCTAAGCAACTCTTAAATGAATTGGGTCATGACGATTTTTTATTTTTATTTTATTTTATATTAGGCCATGTTATTGACACAGTTTATGTAAATTTCTGCTGTGATCTGCATGAAATGTGACTGTATTGATACTGATATTGTTTCAATTTTAGAGAAATCGCTCAATTCTCAAAGTAGAACAACCTTTTTTGATGCTGCTTCAATCATCAGCATATCAACAGAATCAGCATTCAACAAACGATTCAAGTATTTTCTCTTACTTAACCATTTTCCGGTTAATATAATTTTGCTTCAAGTTGGATAACAGCCTGTAGTTTCGTCAGTTTTACTCTTAAATTGCACATACAGAAAGCACCATCAATTTCTTGATCAGAATCAGCTGCTGCAACAATTTCGTGACTTCATCATAATAGCTCAAATTTATAAACAGTCTACAACATAGATCAACACTTTGAAATCAGTGCGCTATGTCTGTCTGACGCCAGGAGCTGCTAATATAGTTTATTGTTGCCATGGTTACACGTCATCCTGACCATGTGGGTTTAATGTACCACATGTATTGTGATAGACACTGGATAAATATTCTCTATCAGTATCACTGTCAGTGTCAGTAATATTATTTTAATAAACACTGCGACATTTAGCTCCAACTTGTTTGTTGTTCAACACCATGTCCACAATCAATATATTGGTATATGGTCTCTGACAGCGGTCTGTAAATAGTCCAGTCTGTAACAGACTCCCAGTGATTGACGTCATGAGCATTGAACCTCATAATGTCAACACGACCGCCGTGATGTTGCTGGAATATTGCTAAAAGCGGCATAAAACCAAACTCGGTCAGTCAGTCAGTCAACACAATGAGATGCCAAGTCAGCAAGTCTGACGTAATCCGTCAGTCTCCTATTACAACAAGCATGGGTTGCTGAAGACCACAACTTTAAGAAATGTTGGGGTAATGGAATTTGGATTTTGAACTAAATGTAATGATTCACAAAGCTTCATGATCAGAGGGACTTTTTGGAGTATTTATATGTGTTCATATTCAGCATTATTTATCAGAACATAAAACACATACAAACCAAGTAACCACCATTTACGTTGGTCCATCCCCATTCCAAACAAAGCTTAATAGTGCTTTGATCATTTTTAGCAAAACAGGCTGTCGAAAACATGTCCGCCGTTTCCAATCCCTTTTTCTGAAAATTGGCTAAATATTTGTGTACCTGGTTCACTTTAGTGTGCAGTATAATTTTGTGTTTCCAGGTGAATAGGTTCACGGAAATGGTGTTAATAAGGTTGCGTAGGATATTCAATGATAGCAGCTGTTGCAACCAGCTGTTAGGAGAATAGTTTTGCTGGAGTGTTAATCATTACATCAGTTTCTTTTATAATCTGAAACTGTTTTGTTCTGCTGTGTTTTTGTTGATGATCTGATAATTATTATTTAGTAATGGCTATAATGTAATAATGGCAACAGTAATGGTTTAATGGTTTTGAAAATGTAATCATTTTGTATCAAACATGAAACAATTTAAAGGTATGTGATTAGTTGTAGTGTTAGTAGAATGTAGGGCTCAATACACAAATATAACGCCTAAATCGGCTACCCATAGATACTTGTAGGCAATTGAGGAAAGCAAAATGAAAAATTATTCTGGTGAATATTGTACATATGCCTCTTGTATGGAATTGGTTTGATCTTCTCCATAAATTGCAACATTTTGGCTTGGTAATATGAGGGCTGCCCCAACTGATGCAAACTGATGGATACTTGAACGGAAGTGAAAATACATAAAACTGAAGTCTTTTGGTTCTCGATTTCCCGAGCTGCTGTTTTACTATGGAACTCAAATCACCTCTTTAAATGTTCAAATTAACTATTTAAGTATTTCTTTCCTGTGTTTCAATCAATATTTTGTGCGTGTGTTTTAGACATGCCCCTTTGTGGTGTGGCAGTTTGGCATCAAATGTATAGCGTTTTGCTTCCTGTGATTTAATAGCATGAGCAGCTGATCCTGGCAGAGCTAGGGGATGTAACTCTTCCTGGTTACGTGTAACACTACAGGGCCCACATGCACAAGTGATCTTAGTGCTACAGTGATCATAGTTCCCATAATCTAACAACCTGTGAAGATGCAGGTTATCGTTGATCTTCAGAAACCCATGCTTGTGGTAAGAGGCCACTAACGGGATTGGGTGGTCAGGCTCACTGACTTGGTTGACACATGTCATTGTATCCAAATTGCAAAGGTAGATGCTCACTGGATTGTGTGGTCCAGACTCGATTATTTAGAGGCCGGTGCTATATAGCTTGAATATTGCTGAGTGCAGCATTAAACACCAAACCAGCCGACCAATCCATAATCTAACGTAAGATGGTTATGTGCAAGAGGCCCTGGGCCATCCATTAAAGAAGCAGGGTACAAGTTACTTTTCGTAGATAAACATGTTGATGTTCGCCGTGTCAGCCATAACACTTAGCACGACTCAACGAGTCTCTGCTGCTGTTCCAGTTCATTGTAAAGTCATCCTAAATAGCTGAATACCTCCGGAAACCTGAATAAATACCAACCTTGGATAATATCCAGTGACACTGGCTGTGTTGAAATCGAGATGCGAAGTAATAACAGAAGTATGGCATCAGTTTGAGAAAGTATCGCTATTGAGTGGGGCTCAGGATGAGTTTTTTCAGATGTGTATCAGATCAGTTTTAAACATTCCATCACAAATTATCGTTCACATTGATATTGATAGGTTTTTTTGTGTGTGTATTCAGTATGTATATACTCACTAGGATCATGTCTACATTAAATGTATATATCCTCAAAAACAGAACCCAAGAAGATCCAGTTTAGAATTAATCTTCGGTAACCCATGCTTGTCGTAAGAGGCAACTAACGGGATCGGGTGGTCAGGCTCGCTGACTTGGTTGACACATGTCATCCTATCCCAACTGCATAGATCGATGCTCATGTTGATCACTAGATTGTCTGGTCCAGGCTCGAGGCCGCCGCCATATAGCTGGAATATTGCTGTGGCATGAAACTAAACTCACTCACTCACTTAAAAAACGTATTTATTCCTGCATGGATTACTTCTAGTAAGGCTTCTCATATACTGACAATATATGAGGATAATATTATATAAACTACCAGAAGAGATATATATTGTATATACAGACAGGATAGATAATACTTGTATAAACAGCCACATAGATAGATATTGTATAAACATTCAGAATAGATATATATTGTATAAACGACCAGGGTAGATACATTAACAATCTAGATAAAATAGCACCTACTTGCGCACTGATATATACAGATCCAGGCTTAAATACATGTTGACATGATCATTGGTACCAGCAGTAGAAGTTCAAGTATATCTTAAAGTAATAAGACTCTACTAACATAAGTAGTAAGCACTTATGAATACTGTTGAAAGAGTGTGAATATCCAGGCCAGATTGGACCTTGGTTGTGTTAGGAGTTCATATGGAGTGAGTGAGTGAGGTTTCATGCCATTTTAAGCATTATTCTGCAGGATGGGACTTCAGATATGGGCATCACATATTAGACTGAGGTGGACAATAGAATCTTGGTATTTTTAGTGAAGTACAGCAACAGAGGGGGACAATCTCCCCTCACATCTGAGAAAGTCTTCTACTTATATGTTTTCATATTTCACCTCAAAACCTATCTATTTCAAACTGGTGACAGACTTTACTTCTTAACTACTGAAGCATTTTTTTGCTTGTTTTTTTGGGGTGTGTGTGTGTGTGTTTAAAATCACTTGAACACCACTTAATCATTATTTAGTTTACATACAGAATCTGGTTTGAAAACCCGTGAAGATCCTGGTTAGAATTGATCTTCAGCAATCCATGCTTGTTGTAAGAAGCGACTAACAGGATCGGGTGGTCAGACTCGATGACTTGGTTATCACGTGTCATCATATCCTAATTGCATAGATCAATGCTCATACTGTTGATCACTGGATTGTTTGATCTAGGTTCTATTAGATACAGACCGCCGCCACATAGCTGGAATATTGCTGAGTGCGGCGTTAAACAACAATCAACCAATCCTGTGAAAGTCTGAAATATTATAGCAAGTCTGTGCTTCATCAGTTTCCTATGACGAGATTCTCAATGCTCATTTCTTAAATATTAGGCCAGGCCAATTTTATTTCTTGTTTTACAGATCTGCCGGTCGTATTTTTTCTAGAATAAGATAAAATATAAAAATAAATTGTCCCTGCTCAAAAATAAAATGCTAATGTTTTTATCCACCAAAAATGTAAACTTACAGGAAAATTTTATTTTTATTGTTTTTTGCCACATATACACTTCACAAATTACCAAATGTAAAATACTTTAATATTTAGAAGGAATATTACTTTGGTGATTTTATTTTACTTATTTTTTTCCCCCTGCCTTTAGGTTATCTGAGGACAAAAATATGTAAAACAAGAAATAAAATTGGTCTGGCCTTATAAACAATTTCAACAAAGAAATAAACAAAATTAATAATAGGGCCTCAAGTTAAGTCTACAAGTATTTCTGGAGGAAGATCCAGCAGGTTCAGAAATACCCAGCCACTGTTTCTTTCCGATGTTGCCAAACAGGGACTGGAGTGTTTCTTGTCCGTTGTCAACTTGTCTTTGTTTACACGGTGGGACTTGCCTGTCATGTGACCTCACGACTTGACCCGACACTGAGCTATAAATAGAAACAGATCAGCAGATCTGACACACGATGTAAAACTTCCTCTTCAGTTAGTTACTGTAGGATAAGATGTTGGCCATATTGGGACTGACGGATATCGGGGTTAATGAGAGTTGGCTGACCTTCAGGTTGGGCCTGCTCAAGACGTTTGTTCATTTTGCCATTTAAATGCGTAATTTGACTGTTTGTAAATGGGATGAAACTTAAACCCTTTAAAGTAGGTGGCCTACGTGACAAATGTCGGAGAGTAAACATTGTTTTTTATGTCATGGTATTTGAAGCTGTTTAGGAGAGGTGATGCGGTTATAAAAATGAGGACATTTATATGAATTTATAGGACTTAAGTGATTATCTGTGAGTTTAATCGGATAGGTTTTTGTTAAGGAAATTGTCTGGTTTTATTTTTATTAATAGGATTTTGTAAATTTTCGAAAATACTTCTGTGTGTTTTCAGAATCAGGTGTAACAGTGAAATTGATATGCATTTAGTACATACTTGTGTCAATCAGTCAGTTTGACTTCTTACTTCTCACTTGCGTTTCAATTTTAATAGCTTTGTGTAGGATTTCAAATCGGACTAATTCAGCGCATTTTACCCCAATTATGTTATCAGACTTGGGTAAAATCACTTTCAGTAGACAAATAGTAGCATATGATCATTATGTTTATATACTTTTGATACATACTTAAAAAACAATAAACGTTTAAAAGTATCATCAAGAAAGGGTGTCATTTAGTCTTGATACTGCAACCCTCATATGTTGTATTTTGTATAATAACATATATCGTTGGAATCGCGAATAATCAAGGAATGCTATATTATGATATTTTCGACATTTTTTGGCCGTCATCCATGCATAACTTCCATCTTTTACCCTATCCAGGGTTTCGTTCTTCATATGTTGTCATCAAGGGCAGGTGTTATTCCTTTTTAAAGGGGGCAGTGGGGTAGCCCAGTGGTTAAAGCGTTCGTTCATCACGCCAAAGACCTGAGTTCGATTCCCCACTGGGTACAACGTGTGAAGCCCATTTCTGGTGTCCCCCACCGTGATATTGCTGGAATATTGTAAAAGCAGCGTAAAACTAAACTCACTCTTGTTAAAGACTGTTGAGGATTTGGGAAGACAATTTGAGAGTTTCAACTCTCTCTACTTGTTATAGAAATTAGTAACAAATGACAGAATTTCGTTATTTACAATGTTTGGGGGATTGTCTCTATAGTCTAGTGGATAGAATGTCTTCCTGGAGATCAGAAGATTGTGGTTCAATCCCCAACTGCATTGTACCAAAGGACATTAAAAGTTAAAAGAAGGTACTTGTTATTACCCTGTCTGTTAGTCTGTAATCAGATAAAACAAGGACTGGCTTGGGGCCATTATACTGTATTGTCATCCATTGATAATGGGGTGTCCTTAACCACTGACCACATTCCCCACCTTGCTGAACTTCCCAATCCAATCTTTCACTGTAAAACCTTCCTAATTGGCAGTTGGGTAGGTTGTAGTGGGTAAAGCATTCGTTCATGATTCCAAAGGTCTGGGTTTGATTCCCCACAAGGGTACAATGTGTGAAGCCCATTTCTGGTGTCCCCTGCCGTGATATTGCTGGAATATTGCTAAAAGCGACGTAAAACTAAACTCACTCACTCACTCTAAAGGGACAGGTGGGTAGGTTAGTTGGTAAAGCGTTCTCTCATCATGACGAAGGTCCGGGTTCAATTTCCTACAGGGGTACAATGTGTGAATGGATGTTCGTTTATCCCCTGCCTTTATATTTCTGGGATATTGTTAAAAGTTGTGTAAAGCTAAACTCACTCGCCACGTCTCCTCATATGAGTTTGAGTTGAGTCAAAGTGACCTAGTTTTGAAGGCCTACACATCTCTCTCCGAAATCTAGTTCGAAACCACTCGGTAAACGGTCGTCTTGTTGACTTTGACTCAGGGTGTTTTCTCCAGTTGTGACATCAGTCACTGGGCAGGTGTTACAACAACATATCAAATCGATGCTGATAGTGGTAATGACTGTTTGATCAGTTTTGATAACTGCTGTCCTGATTATCATGTGATTATACCTGACTTGAATTTAATAACAAACCAGGGCGTTTGGTTAGCATGCCCGACTTGCCCAAACCAGGAAATTATAGTGCGGGGCAAGTGGGATAATATCTTTTATTTGCCTTTGGGCGTGTACAAAAATCAGCAGTGTTTACTTTGAAACTTCGAAGAAATTTCATGTAGTTCAAAAATAATTTGTAGTTTAATATTTTTACCATTAAAACAAAGGGACTTAAGCAATAAAAACAAACACAAGTAGACATGGTCAAAACTAGTGTATCGCGGAGTCACTGAACCCATAGATTGCCAATACTGGCTAGCCCTCCCTGCAATGCTAAAGCCCTAAATGAAGCAAGGCTAGATTTTCTCTGAATCTGCCATCTCAATGGGGCTCCTCTTCATTTTGAATGGGATTATTACTACTATCAAAATCTAAGATATTCAAAAACTAAACTTTAGTCAAGGACAAAACATGGTAGTAGAATTTTTCATTTTCAATTTTGTTATCTGACACCCCTGTAAACTGTTGTTGGTGATGTCTCTGAAATCATAGCCGATCAAGAATAAGTAAATATTTCCCTTGGTAGCAGTTTCTGTTGACCGAGACTGAAAGGGCAATCGGAACACTACTGGCCTGTTATCGGCTAAACCAGCTTGGGCTGTGATTGTAACCCACTCAACTCCAGCCTATCAGTGAAACACGTCCTGTCCAATCAGGTGACCCTGTCGGCCACCTTGAAACATGCCACTTGAAGACCTTGACCATGTTGACCGTGAAATCATATGTCATCGTGTTGAGATTATGTTAATCTCCTTGAGAACTATTCCTGTTAATCTCTAAACATCTGGTTAATCTGCCACTTGAGCATGTTCAGGCTTTGGCTTGCCCAAACATAAGAATATCAGAATAGCATTTCTATTTAAAGTCTTTGAGCAGCATATTTATTTGTATCTTCAAAGACATGGTGATGCATTAAACAGTAATGCCTAGTTGTTCTAATACACAATATTGCTGGGTGCAGCGTAAATCTAAACTCACTCACTCACTAACCAAAATACTGTTTCAAACAAATAGATGAATGAATATTAGAAAGACTTGAGGAACACATCTTTTAATTTGATCTTGCATGACTCAAAATTATTATGATAAGTATAGGGTTCTAGAATATCTTTCTTAAAATGATTGTCAAAACAATGTTAAAACATTTAGGTGCGGAGTTACTTTAAGTTTGGTATTTATGGGTTACACCACTTGGACGTCACTGTCTAATCCTTGTCATTGTTTGCTGCACGCCTTGGAATTTTAACTATTTCCACAATAGGACAGAGGGTCCATGTGCACCAGTTTCTACATGGATATTTCCTGAAGTGATTGTGGTGTGATTAAAATACCTTAAACACATGTTTGTTATTGACATGTCATATTCTAAATGGAAAGTTATGATTGTATAACATGGGGTTCGTAGGTCGAGGTAACTGAGTGTAATCATCAGTTTTCATTATATGACATGTTCAACGATGATGAGAGACAAGCATATTCAGGTGGCCCAGTGGTTAAAACAAAATCTAGGTTTGAATCACAAATATGCAGGGTATGTAAGCATTTTACATGTTCTTGATGTCTCCTGTTATCATGTATAATTTCTGGAATACTGTAAACGTATTATATTTCGCGCAGGTTTTATTTTTCGCTTATCGCGCAAAACATTTTAGCACAAAAATTTATACACCGCGAATAAACCTGTCATTCATTCAGTCTAGCCACGCTCGCCCCTGAGTTGTTACCATAACACATCAAGTTTGAAGACAGATATCTACGGGAATCTTATAATGACGACTGATAGTAGCATAAAGAATCATACTTAACTGTCGCTGTAATGGATTTCGCAAAACATAATTAAATAATGAGCCAAATCCCATCGCCGAATTAGCGAAAACAGCAATGTGTGTTGTGGCCGCCATGGAAATTGGTCACATGACAGATGGTTTGATACAAAATAGATTACCATGAAACGACTCGGAAAGAAATAATACAGCAGTATTTTATTTATTCATTAAGATTTTATTTACCAGTACATCATGAAGCGAATAGTCACTTAACACTCAATCATCTCATTCACAACAACCCGGCTTGTTTGATATCACAAAGAGCTTCATATACAGTAGAAGTTAATTCGTCAGATCGTCAGAATTCGGAACATAAGACTGATGTGTTTTTCATCTCTTCCGTGAGTAAACGGATTACTGTGTACTAGTATATCGCACAGATAGGGATTTCCTGTGAGTAAGCAATAAACGCCACCTGACAGGTTAAGCCACTCTGTTTGTTTTCACTGCTATTAGTGGCGGCCAAAGAGACAGCTGGCAGTTCCGGCAATTACTGATTGCGCAAATAATTAACCGCGCGATGTAGTCTAAACTGTCAATTCCGCGAAAATTGCACCACGCGAAAATAAGTACGTTTACAGTATTGCTTAAATGTAAAAGTCATATCATGGTGAACAGTTTGTTTTTCGTTCAATGCCGCACTCAGCAGTATTCCATCTGTATGATAGATCGATCTGTAAAGAATCAAGTCTGGACCACACAGTCCAGTGATTGACACCATGTTCATAGGTTTACACAATTGGCATCGAAGTCAGTGTGTCTCCCTACCTGATCATTTAACACTATCAGTGGGTGAGTGAGTTGGGTTTTACGCCGCTTTTAGCAATATTCCTGCAATATTACGGCAGGGGGCACCAGAAATGAGCTTCACACACTGTACCCTAGTGGGGAATCGAGCCCAGGTCTTCGTCATGACGAGCGAATGCTGCCTCATGTAACAAGCATGTAAGATCGGGGCGTCATTGTACAATCTTAGCACTAAGGTGACCGTAACTCCCATACCTTTACATAGATTTACGACTGTCTATTGTTGTTGCTTTGTACAATGGCACCCAGTAGTTCTAACCTGCTTTTTATTACGACAGACCATGTAGCCAAGTCTTGACAACCATTGACCTTGACATTCGGGTCCCACAGTTGGTTCAGAAACAACTCTAATCTTAAGTGTGATTGTTTTTTTCAATCTGATAAGATAGATACAACACTCTTCACTACTGATACCCACACTGAGTGTAGTTTCTCAAAATGTCACAGTGAGTTTGTTTAACTAACACTCAACAGTGTTCCAACTATAACAGGAAATGTAAATAATTGAGTCTGGACCAGACAAACCAATGGCGGACATTGTGAGCAGTGTTTCATGCCGAAATTCAACAGGCCACTAAGGTCACAAGTTGCCCAGTCATGTTAAACCCCACAATTTGCTGTACAGAGTTGCATCCCATGACCGTGCCTAAAACCTATGATTGGGTTCGAATCCTGATTTCGTTTCTATGTTTGTCAGCACCATGTAATTTGTGGAACTCACAATAGTGATAAATTTCTGAGACCTGTAGCGTTTGGGGCATCCTCCCTCAGTCAGATAAACCAATGTAACCGGAATACTGTTCAAAGCAGCATAAAACCCAATTCACTCTCCCAACCAGGCCACCATCCATACACTCAGTACATTTACTAGAGGCCACTTACAATAAACATTCTATTCTCATTTACCCACACACTCACTCACACATTCACTCTCACCTACTCACTCACACACTCAGCCACCCATCCACTCACTCACCTACTCAGCCACCCATCCACTCACTCACCTACTCAGCCACCCATCCACTCACTCACCTACTCACTCACACACTCAGCCACCCATCCACTCACTCACCTACTCAGCCACCCATCCACTCACTCACCTACTCACTCACACACTCAGCCACCCATCCACTCACCACCCACTCACCCATCCACCACTCACCCACTCCACTCCACTCAGCCACCCACTCACCATCCACTCACCACTCACCACCTACTCACTCACACACCAGCCGGGCCAGCCATCCATCCTCTCCACCTACTCACCACTCACCATCCACTCAGCCACCCATCCACTCACTCACCTCACCCACTCAGCCACCCATCCATCCTCACTCACCTCACTCACTCACTACCACTCACACACTCAGCCACCCATCCACTCACTCACCACCTACACTCACTCACACACTCAGCCACCCATCCATCAGCCACCCATCCTCACTCACCTACTCAGCCATCCATCCACCTACCACCACACACTCAGCCACCCATCCACCACCCATCCACTCGCCCACCCACCCACTCGCCCACCTACTCACTCACCTACTCAGCCATCCACTCACACACCCACTCACTCACCCGCTCAGCCATCCATCTGCACATCCATCCACTCACTCACCTACTCACCCAGCTAAGCCACCATCCAGACACTGAAGCCATTACCTGGGGGATAGACTGAGATCCTCCACCTGGAACCTGTGGGTCGAGTGACACCTGAACCAGAACCTGATAAGACCATGATCCTCTGAACTTAGAAGGCCATACTAAAAATGCTAAACACCTACGAATAGGATGAAATCTTTTATGTATGTTACAATGTACCTTTCTTCCTTTTAAAGCTATTTTTTATCCCCCGAAACACGTTTTGCGGGGGGTATTAAAATAGACTCTGTCCGTGCGTCCGTCAATCCGTCCGTCCGTGCACATTTGTCTTTTCCGGAGCAGAACTCTAAAACCGTTCAATATTTCTTCACCAAACTTGGCAGATACATGGATCTGGTGGTGTACTGGTGCCTTTTGGTAGTTTTGGAATTCTGAATAAAATATTTTTGACGTTTCCATGGCAACAAGTTTGACTTAGCCTGAACTTGGTGGTAGTGCTCTTTTCCGGAGCAGAACTCTAAAACTGTTCACTATTTCTTCACCAAACTTGGCACATAGATAGATCTGGTGGTGTACTGGTGCCTTTTGGTAGTTTGGGAATTCTGAATAAAATATTTTTGGCGTTTCCATGGCAACAAGTTTGACTTAGCCTGAAATTGTAATAGTGCTCTTTTCCGGAGCAGAACTCTAAAACCGTTTAATGTTTCTTCACCAAACTTGGCACATAGATTGGTCTGGTGGTGTACTGGTGCCTTTTGGTAGTTTGGGAATTCTGAATAAAATATTTTTGACGTTTCCATGGCAACAAGTTTGACTTAGCCTGAACTTGGTGGTAGTGCTCTTTTCCGGAGCAGAACTCTAAAACTGTTCACTATTTCTTCACCAAACTTGGCACATAGATAGATCTGGTGGTGTACTGGTGCCTTTTGGTAGTTTGGGAATTCTGAATAAAATATTTTTGGCGTTTCCATGGCAACAAGTTTGACTTAGCCTGAAATTGTAGTAGTGCTCTTTTCCGGAGCAGAACTCTAAAACCGTTTAATGTTTCTTCACCAAACTTGGCACATAGATTGGTCTGGTGGTGTACTGGTGCCTTTTGGTAGTTTGGGAATTCTGAATAAAATATTTTTGGCATTTCCATGGCAACAAGTTTGACTGAAATTGGTGATAGTGCTGCTTTCTTGAGCAGAACTTTAAAAACCTTTCAATACTCTCCTTCCACTTTTCTATATACACACCTAAATATTTGACATAATCATAACTCGTAGACATAATCATGATGAGTATTTTACCATTGAGGGGGATATTGATGACTATGTCTTCTTGTGTTCTGTTGTTATGGAGGAGAGCTGGTTTGACACTCATGTCCCTGTACATGTTGTTGTGAAGACATAAGGTTATATTTTATCATAAAATATGTATGACCCTCCCCAAATATTTGTATTTGTTTAACACCCACCTCAAGGATGTTAAGTTGTAGTGGTCTTCCCCTAATTTCCGCTCACTGTTAGCTGCTCATGTGCAATATATATATAGTAGTACAACTCATTCTGATGGTTTCAGATTCAGGAATTAGGTAGAACACGTTCATGTTCTGGTTTTCATCACTTGTTATGCTGGTGTTGGTTAAGATTTCTTTCAGATTAATCAGTAAATAAACAGATTCTGTAACCATGGTGATTAATGTGGAAATCTGTGATAATTGGTTCTGCTGTAAGTAATATAAGCCAGTGCAGTGGAGAATTTCACGATTTCTGCTCTCATCCTTGTTGTATTTATCTGTGGAGTAACGCCACATCAGCTATATGATGTGGCCTGAAAGGAAGACCAGACAATCCAGTGATTGACATCGTGTCCAAGCCAGCAAGCCTGACCTTATCCTGTTACCTCTTATGACGATCATAGTCTGCTGAAGGCCAATTCTAACCCAATATTGTTAATCACAACTTACAGCAAGCATGTTTTCCTGAAGACAGATTCTAACATGGATCTTCTGTTTGACATGCAAGAGCCTACAGACCAGGCTAACTATTCTCGAAACTTTCGTAGCCCTACGAACTTCTTAAGCCCATTCTTAAGACATTCGCTACGATCAAAGTTAAGAATTCTTAGGTCTACGAACGTTTCGAGAATAAGGGCCCAGGCTAGCTATTCTTGAAACGTTCATAGCCCTACAAACTTCTTAAGCTCATTCTTAACACATTGGCTACGATCAAAGTTAAGAATTCTTAAGGCTGCGAACGTTTCGAGAATAAGGGCCCGGGCTAGCTATTCTTGAAACGTTCGTAGCCCTACAAACTTCTTAAGCCCATTCTTAACACATTGGGTACGATCAAAGTTAAGAATTCTTAAGGCTACGAACGTTTCGAGAATAAGGGCTCAGGCTAGCTATTCTTGAAACGTTCGTAGACCTACAAACTTCTTAAGCTCATTCTTAACACATTGGCCACGACCAAAGTTAAGAATTCTTAAGGCTACGAACGTTTCGAGAATAAGGGCCCGGGCTAGCTATTCTTGAAACGTTCGTAGCCCTACAAACTTCTTAAGCCCATTCTTAACACATTGGGTACGATCAAAGTTAAGAATTCTTAAGGCTACGAACGTTTTGAGAATAAGGGCCCAGGCTAGCTATTCTTGAAACGTTCGTAACCCTACAGTACAAAACTTCTTAAGCCCATTCTTAACACATTGGGTACGATCAAAGTTAAGAATTCTTAAGGCTAGGAACGTTTTGAGAATAAGGGCCCAGGAGAATTGTGTTTTGTTTGGTCATGACATCAACCACTGGTTAAGTGTGAGCACCAAACTTAAATACATAGTACTCCAGGATTTTGCTGACTCGGTATGAAACTACTAACGTCAATGCACCTGCATAATATGTATTTCCAAGTTCAAAACCATGTTTAATACCAATGTGATGTCCCATTTTAATTGAGATGATATTCTGAGCAAATATATAAATGACAAAAAAAACCAAATGGGTTTATTTGGGTTTCAATTTCCTAAGCAAACGCTTGAAATAGAACTTTCATCAATATTTCAATGAAGATATCAGTTATAAAAGGTTATTTTCAATCAATCAAAGAAGTTGTTTCCGTTTTATATTTTGGAAATTTACACATATTGGGGAATCCTCCTTTAAGATCCAGAAAATTGATTGTTTTGGCTTAACCATTAGAATAGTCTACATGGCGAAATAAGTGTGTTAGATGGCGGGGGATCGCTAACATTATTACACGTACACTTCGATGTATCGTTGCTTCCACTTCTGGTAATTAGAATTCAGGCAAGGCACCAGACTAACTTGATGTGAATTCCAAATAGGCTTTCAATTACATACTGCTGTACATGCTAATAAGCCCTGAGTCGGGGGTCGACCTGAAGGCCTGCTTCACGAGACTGGGGAGGTATTAGTGTATTGATACAGGCCGGACATGCTGCCAACTTGAGATAGCTGTGCTGATGTTGGTAGGAAATTATAGAGCATGAGCCGATAGTTTGTTCAAGATTTTATAAATTTGTTACTTATTGATTGGTTCTTGAGTGGAATCTTGGTCTTTAAAAGATGTTTCCGATCATGAATCGTTAGAATATTGGAAGGAGCGTGGTCCTAATTATTCTTGTCATATTTGTGTTTTCCATCATCTTCATTGATGTCAATATCATAGAAATCACCTTGTTATCTTTATTCATTACCATGGTTGCTGTCATTGAGAGTGACAATCATCATCATCATCATCATCATCATCATCATCATCATCATCATCATCATCATCATCACAGTCATCATCATCATCATCATCATCATCATCATCATCATCACAGTCATCAGCAGCAACAGTATCACCACTGTCATCATTATCAGCAGCAGCAGCTAATCATGCCGAAGACCCGGTTCGGTTCCCAACATGGGTACAATATGTGAAGCCCATTTAAAACAATATAAATAATAAAAATCATTGTCTTCATCATCATCATCATCATCATCATCATCATCATCATCATCATCACACTCAGCAACAACAACTGGGGTTTATCTTTGATTTGTTGTTTAACACCACACTAAGCAGTATTCCTGCTGCATGTCGTCTGTCAATAAATAATTGGGTCTGGACCTGACAATCCAGTGATCAACATCCTGAGCATTGATCTTTGTTATTGGGATATGACATGTGTCAACCAAGTCAAAGAGCCTCACCACCCAATCCAGTTAGTTACCTCTTCCAAACACAGTGGTTGCTAATGACCAGCTATTACCTTGAAGGAACAGGGAAGACAATGAATATGACTAAAGTTTTAGGTAAAACAAGGTACTTTGAGGGTTATGTCATTGTTGTCCATTTGTCCTATGAGATTTTCAACCACGAGTGGGGGCAGTAGGGTAGCCTAGTGGTTAAAGCGTTCGCTCATCACTCCGAAGATCCGGGTTTGAAGCCCATTTCTGGTGTCCATCGCCGTGATATTGCTGGAATATTCCTAAATGTTGCATAAAACTAAACTAACTCAACTCACTCACTCAACCACTAGTGGCACCAAACTGACCCACAGACATCATGGTTCCTGCAAGACAATCCTCTTGAGTGGCTCCAAATAACCACATCAAGACGCCAGCCACTTTGAGAAATCCGTCAAGTAAAACTACAACCAGATAGATTTCTCTGACTCTATTTGTTAGGTTATTGACCAGCGAATTGGAGGACTGTTCCCACTGAGGACGTAAGACATTGATGTCCTCTTTTGATATGATTCACCCCAGGTAAGACTCCATGCTATTGTAGACATTGCCGAGATGTGTGATAACTGTCACTGGCGATAATTAGACTTTGGTTGCTATAGCCCCTGTGGCTTAGACAGAACACAACATGGACAAATCAATGAGATATTTATAAACGGCTCTGTGGGTGCTATTTTGGCCTGATTGAAGACAGTGGTGAAAACCTAAAGAGGTTACATAGGAAGGGTTTCTCCGTTGTGTACAAGGTGCTATGTCCGTGTCAAATCTGGCATCTGTTGATACGAAGTCTGGGCTCTGAGTTACCATGCTTGTGTAGACAGTATGTATGTGCTTGTTTCAAATATTTAGACGTCAAATATTTAGATGTTTAATATGCTGGTGATAGTTCTTGTGATTGCCATTGGAAAAACAGCTGTAGATGTTTGTCGCCTTGTCAAGAATTTTGATATCAAATGAAATTGTTCACAGTGCTCCCAATATTCGGATGTATCTTGAGTTTGTTTTCTAAACTGTTTTCATCGTTCAGTGATGAAACAACTGTCATAATACTAATATTGTTTATTTGTTTTGAATGTTGATATGAAGTGAATATAGATCACAGGGCTCCCAATATTTAAATATATCTTGAATTAGTTTTCTTAAATGTGTTTTCATCTTGAAAAAACAGCTATAATATTTACTGATTTGTTTTGAATGTTGATATAAAAATGAAGTGCTCCCAATATTTGAATGTATCTTGAATTTGTTTTCTAAAATGTGTTTTCATCGTTCAGTGCTAAAACAACCGTAATATTTGTTTATTTGTTTTGAATTTTAATAGCAAATGAATGTAGTTCACAGTGCTGGGGATACAGGGGTGGAAATAACTTTAATATTGCTAGTGTACTCCGGTACAGTGGCTCATGTAAAATCACTTGCCCTGATAATTTTTCCACTATACCGGCCATTTTCTTGTTAATTTTTTAAATAAACAACATAACTAACATTGGAATATCAACTGGACACCAGTACAGTGTGATATACAAATTTGCTTGCCCGACAGAAAAAAACACTGGACTCGGGCTTCGGGCAATGGGTTATTTCCACCCCTGGGATATTCGATGGTATCCTGAATTTGCTTTCTAACATGTCTTTTCATCATCCAGTGCTACAATAACTATAATAACTATAATATTTGATGATTTGTTGTTCTAATTGAATGTAGTTCACAGTGGGCATTGTGGTTGAATTCAAATGAATGTTTTTTAAATATTTTTTCATCATTCAGAGATATAAATTTTGTCATTTTTATCAAGAAATTACATTCATGACGTTTGTAAAATGTCTTTTTTGCAGTGGTTCCTGAATGACAATCTTTCATTCAGAATTTGTAAAGATGTTTTTACTAAGGGTATGATGAATAATATTTGTGTTGAGTGGGCGATAATGTCTATATTTGTCACATTATCCTTGAGATTGTTGTTAAGCCAAAACGTGTGCTGGCATTGAACATGGTGATGTGTCTTAATTTAGGCAACAATATTATTTTCTTTGAGTAAAATTGGTTGAACAGGTTGAAATGTGAGTCACACTAATGTCAAATTTTAATATTAATTGAGTTGTTTTCAGTATTACAAATTTAAATATTTTCGATTTTATTTTTCATTTTTTGGTTCTGGTGTACATGTGCTGATTTCA